GAAAGAGGCATCGGGGCGAGCGCGCGCACCCGCTCTTCTGAGGCGATGCTCGCTCCGGCGCGAGACTCCGTCGCGAGCTCGGGACTCCACAACGCCGCCGCCTCCGCCGCCGCCAAAGACGAGGGGCGGGCTTTTAAAGGAGAGGGCGTGGCCTCCTCGCGTTCTACTCCTTTGCTCTCCTTCTCCCGCCCTTCTTCGGGTCGGCGAAAGGCGCGCGCGGGGTGGGGCTGAGGGAAAAGTGGAGCCGGGGGAGGGGGGGGGGGGGGAGAGGGGGAGAGATAAAGTCCCGTTTCGAAGCGGAGGTTCGGAGTTCTTCCGTTCCGAAGGCAGCTTTTTGTCTTTGGCTTGCGGGGGGGAAAAAGGCTTCTGAACTGGGCGGTTTACTGAAAATCGCAAGGCGTGAAGAGAGAGACGTTGTGACAAGGCGGGTGTGCCCGCTGCAGTCCTTAAACAAGTAACCCGGTCACCCCGAAAAGTTAAAAGATTTTATCACGATCAGAGCCACCAGAACCCTTTTCACGCTTTTCAGCTCCTCAAAGGCTTCGACTTCCAGTGATTCGGCTGCCTCGGGGCATATTTTAGGAATAACTGATTCTCAATAGTCAGGTCCGGAGGCTGCCAACAGCTACAAATTCAGGGCGGTATATAATATTAGGAGGTAGCATGCAGCAGCCTGTGTAGGTTGGCATATTAACTGGCAGGAAATTAAAAAAAAACCCGGCACGCCCATTAGAGTTCTAATCTTGCAACAGGAAATAAATACGAATGTCAGGAGTTTAAAAGTGCTAGTTATTGAGCCCTAAACCAGCCTTACATTACAGGTCTTCTTCCAATCTAAGTTGCCTGTTTTTCCACCTAGCACTCATCTGCACATCTTTCTTGTCCCAGGATCCAGGAAGGCCACTTCTTGAGCATGTGAAGACATGAACATGGACTCTATGCTACAATTGTCCGCTCTCTACCTGTCAGCTGGTGCTCTATTCAAAATCCAAGAAAGAAATACTTAAGACTCTTTTAATCAGATAAAAGATATCTTTTACTGGAAATCAAGTGGTAGCAACAAAAGAATTCTGAATCTGAGAAAATGGGCGCGTAAATCACATATACAAAGTAATGCCAACGTTCCCACCCCCAATAGTTCAATTGGCTCATCCAATTAAACGTTGTGTATATCATCATGTAGGCACCTCCAGGTGGTGATGAGGCTTCTGTCCGTTGACCTTGACATAGTTTGATAAAGAGTTGCAGCTGCGCGTAGCATAGGATAGAAATCTAAGCAAGAATGTACACACACACCCCCCAGCTTATACAGTGCTGGTTTGTAACACCTCCAGCTCACTTCCCATAACCATTCCCCACTCCTCCCCGTTACTTATGACAGCCAAAAAATGCAAAGCAAAGGGAGAAAAATCAGGAGGGTTTTCCAGGAGGGCCGAATGTCAGCCTTCAAGATTTTTCTTCCTTTGCTTTGCATCTTTTGGCTGTCGTAAGTAACGGGGGGAGGAGGGGGGAATGGTTATGGGAAGTGAGCTGGAGGTGTTACAAACCAGCACTGTATAAGCTGGGGGGGGGGTACATTCTTGCCCTTCTTCTGGGTCCCAGCAGGTGTATCTCCCTCAGGGATGGGACCCACAACATTCCCTGCCTCCCCGTTCTGATGGGTCAGGTAGATGTGGCCGGCAAGAAACAGTCCTTCAGATATGGCAGGGTTAGGATTCAAGCTACCCTGTGGGTTCATTTGTGTGGTTGTGGGGGTTGGAACTGTCATTCCAGTGTCAAGAAAAATAGCACTTCATTTATCCTTTGGTCTTGGGTGGGGTAGCACCTCAAACAAACCCAGTGTGTAATCTTGGGATTCTCCTGGATTCATAACTGCTGCTTGAGTAGGTGGCAGTCAGTCACTTCCAGTCTATTGACTATTGCAATGCGCTGTACATGGGGATGCCCTTAAAAACCATCTGAAAGCTCCAATTGGTTCAAAATGCAGTGGCTTGCATAGTTTTGTACAGACCCAGGCATGCACGTGTATCACCTCCCCTGTGGGAGCTGCATTGGCTGCCTGTTTTCTTTTGGCTGCAATTCAAAGTGCTGGTTGTCACCTTTAAAGTCCTTCATGACTTGGAACCAGGTTGACTCAGCCTTCCATCTTTCTGAGGTGGGTAAAATGAAGACCCAGATTGTTGGAGGCAATGTGCTCACTCTACACACAGCTTAGAGAGGGCTGTAAAGCACTGTGACGTGATATAAAAGTGCTACTGCTATCTGAAAGACTGTCTTCTCCCAGTTATATCCATCTGACCCACTAGAGCAGGGACGTAGGGAATCTTGCTGGTCACATACAGATGTACCTTAAGGAGGTACATCTAGCGGGACCCAAAAGAAGGGCCTTCTCCATGACAACAACCCTCCCTTTGGAACATCGTCCCAACAGAGATTAGTGATGCTCTTTGGCAGAGCCCTGAAGACCTGGTTCTGCCAACGGGCCTGGAGAATCGAGAGTGGAATAGAGCCCATCAAGTGGCTCTATTGTGTGTTGTTGCCAAGGGGTGGGGGTTACTGTTTTATAATCTTTTATATTGGGTTTTTTATTGGTTGTAAGCCACCCAGTCACTGAGAGCGAATTAGCTATAGAAATCTTCTAAAGAAATCCTGCCATTTGGGGTTGCAGGAGAGAAGCTGTGCCATAGTTCTCTGAACTATGATGTGGTGATCACTCCTCAGGATGGCAAAAATGATAGAAGAGCTGCTTCCTCTTTTTACTCCACAAGCGTTTTTCAACATGGGTGGCAGAAGAGGTTGGGAGAGAGACAAAGTGGCAGAGAATGCCATCTAGCAGCATGCTACTCCTTCAATCCCAGGGCATTAAACGCCATTAAAATGGCTGTGTGAGATTAAAGAATTGGCACCAAAGCAGCCATGCCTCTCAAATTGCAGTACAGACAATGTTGCTGTTTAAAAGGAACAATCAGAGTGAAATAATGGTTAGGATATTGAAGCTGGTTTGAAGGAATCACAAGTTTAAATTCATATTCAGCTATGGAAGCTTCCAGTGACTTTGGCCCCTCTTGAGTCAAGAGAAATGATCTCCCCCAGGCAGATCTGGCATGCAATTTGGGGATCTTGTTGGACTTGAGTTTATCCTGGAAGAATAGGTGGCAGAGAGGTCCTTAAACAAACGCATCTTGTGTGCCAATGAGTTATATGAGCCTCAGTGGCGCAATGGTTAAGAGTGCAAACTAGAGGTGCAAACACTGACCAGACTGTATCCAAGCATTTCTTCCAGCTCCGTATCTACTTCATTTTATCTTTCCTGAGTAACTGGTCTACAGTTGCACATTATTTTGATTTATAAAGGAAGCTTTCAAAACTTATTGGAAGTAAAAAATGATGCTGGAGGATAGAGAGATACTTTAAAGCATGCCAGCTTCCCAAATGCAGAAAAGTAACGGGCGCCTTGCTCTCCAGGACGCTGGCAATTCAAGCATCAAGATTTAATAAACTAGCAATCTGTTTCCATAGTAACAGGTATCAAATGGGAACATTTCAACCTATGTGTGAAGAGGGTTAGACTCATTCTCCTAAACAGAGACCTTTGATGCCTAACCATATCACTGATTAATACTGGCCATTATACAAAGATTATACTTTAAATCAGATAATATATGTAACTATTTGAAAACTGAAAATATTTAATCTTATTTATATTGAAGGCATCCTCCCGTATCTATTGAGCTGAGCTCCCAAATTCTTTATATCCTCCTAAAAGCTCTAGAAATCATGCAAAGCACTAGCTTGGAACAGCAAATAGTAGCTTTAGGCAGAACTATATATAGGTTAAACCAAAGTCTGGCTCCATAGAAATTTATTACATAAAATACTTTAAATATTGAGCTGGTTGCAATTTTCTCCTAAACTATTCCTTACTTGTTTGGCACATTACCATAACATTTCTAAGTTTGATAACGTTTTCTCTAAACATACAAAACAAAAACATTTTGTGTTTGGCCTCTAGGAACTGATTTGATACACTTTGTACAATTCCACTCTGCCAAATAATCTGCTTTGAATATACAAACTAACCTTAAGCAAGTCACTTTAACTCAGTTTCAATATACATTCTTTCCCAACTAATATACGCAATCTAGGAATAGTTCTAAATACATACATAAAGTGCTTGTAAATGGCGCTATTATGTGTGCAATACTTTATTTGTACAATTCTATATCTGAAAATGATCAAAAGACATGCTTATTACAATTTCAGATTCAGCAGGCACTACACATTCTTAAACCTCATTGATATCCACAAGTCCTAGACATTTTTTTAAAAAAGCATCCATCTCTTTGAGTTACACTCAGAATATAGTGCTAATGTAAATAATTTCTCACAATTCAGACTCTGACTTTAAACAAATCTATGTAGGAAATATGTTTGCATGCAGTTTCCCATTTGGGAATTAATTCTGTAGTCTAGGATTCACCATCAGCCAATCAGTTTAAAGTGATTGTCCACATATTGTTTCAGGGCACTTATATTCCAATATATGTCGAGCCCTACTTGCAACAAAATAGAAATGATTTGCCAATGATTTGATAATACAAATTAAATTTGTACATTTTGGAGAATTTGAGGTGAGGGGCTCAAACTATTTTCCCTGACATTATTTTGAGTAGTATCAAGGATCATATACAGGTAGTCCTCAACTTACAACAGTTCATTTAGTGACTGTTCAGTTAGAATGGCACTGAAAAATGTGACTTATGACTGTTTTTTAGTTACGAGCTTTGCAGCATCCACAGAATTATGTGATCAAAATTCAGATGCTTGGCAACTGTTTCATACTTATGACCGCTGCTGTGTCCCAAGATCATGTGATCACCTTTTGCAACCTTATGATAAGCAAAATCAATGGGAAAGCCAGATTCACTTCACAACCAGGTTACTAACTTATTAACTGCAGTGATTCATTTATCTATGACAAGGTCGTAAAATGGGGCAAAACTCACAAATGACTAACTTAACAACAGAAATGTTGAGCTTAATTGTGGTCATAAGTCGAGCACCAACTGTACAGTTTGGGCAATAGCCTAAAACAAGGTAGATTAACAGAACTTCCAAAACAGCTAACTACATAATGTATGAAGGACATCGCCCCACCCCCAAATACAACATTTTAAATATTCTATTGAACCAGTATGGACCACAAGGGACAGTTTTACTGTATTTTCAGCCATTTTGATCAATTCATATTCAAAGCTGCATCCACTTGATTCACTTGTCATATATTATGTTTATCTACATGAAACATCTCAGATCAAAATGTAGATACATATAGTCTATAGACGGCTTCTGATAACCAAACATACCCACAAAATTCCAAATATGCCTACTAACTCCAAAAACATTATAGAGGTAGGTTGGCGTTGTACTTTTGGCTGGAATTCTTAACTAAACAACACATCTGATGAACAGAGTGGCACATAGGGTTCCACTTATTATTATATATCTTTGTTCTTGATCCACTAGAATATGCACTAGTTAGAACTGGACCAGGAAAACCAGAAGATACATACCCATTTAACTATACAACACATTGCTGACTTTGGATCGGACATTTTCGACTTAAAAAACATGCATACTTCAAACTCTTGGAAAAAGACAATAGATAAGCGGCATTTAAGATTCTCTTTAATATACAAGCTTAACCCTTCTACTTGTCTCAATACAGGGAATAAAGTCAATAGCTCAGTTCAGCCTGAATATCTATACTTGTATCTCCATTTTGAGACTTGCAAAAATTTCACACATGGCTTGCCAAGGATACATACTTTTCAAACACAAAAAAATGAGATTTTACCATTAACATACAATTATTACTATAAATTCCTTTACGTCTAAATAGACATGTGTAATATGATGACAGCCCTCCATTTTGCCAGCCATACATCAGTAAAACCAATACATTTGGATTTAGTAAATTTTTCTACCTTCTTTCAATGAGCCTAAACTAGCTCGAGCTTAATGAACTTCAGCTAAGAATTCTTTCAAATACTGCTTATGTAATTTCTCTAAATACATAAAGTCTAGTAAGCTAAACAAGCTAAAAAGCCCCTGCTTTCCTGCCCTATCTGAATGTATTCACTGCATGCCACTACAAAGCATAAATTCACCGTCTCAATCACAATGATTCAGAGGCAATAGAACTGATAACTCCTATGGTAGCTAGCAGGATAAACTACTTTCCTGGCTCTTTTATGCACTGATTCACATTTACAATTTTAGCAAAAAATACAGTGCTAGCATGAAGATTATACAGATGAAATGATCTGAACAGATAACATTATCAATGCTAAATTCAAATCCAGCAAGAATTCATCAAGTACAGAACCTTTTAGAAAAGGGTTTATAAAGGGTTTCAAAATTATATTTAAGGCAGTGGCTATTGCACATAGATACATGAAATTAGCCCATAACTAACCCATTAACCATAAATCAACCATACAAGTTGGGTGTGCATAGTCTACTGGGCAATCAGATTTTAGTCCAGGGCATGCTTCAAAATGGAAACCAACGGGTTGATAGTCAATCACCATTCTCCACTTTCATCTGTTCAAGCTGTGGAATATTTTAATCAAATATTTGTTTAGCACAGCTGTTCCCAACCTTTCCAGCTTGGCAGCCCAGCCCGGGGCAGAGGGTGAGGTATGAGTGGCAGGCACATGAGTGCAGATATATGTGTGCAAGCAGCAACCGTGTGCGCCCTCTACTTGCGCAAATGGAGCTCTGTGCACAAGCAGAGGGTGCTTGCACTCATGTGCAAAATTCTAGCTATGCAAGCCCGGGGGCGGGGCTTGTGCTTGCATGTGAAGGTCCATTCATGTGAGTGGAGGGCATTTGTGCCCAAAGCTCCATTTGCACAAATGCAGCTTCATGCACAAGCACTCTCTACTCGCGCAATGGAGCTTCACATGCACACATGTGCCAATCTCTCCCACTGCCCAGTTTTGAACAGGCTGCAACCCAGTAGTGGGCCATGGGCCAGAGGTTGGGGACACCTAGTTTAGCAGTTATGGAGAAAGTTGAAACATTGACTTGAGATACTTACCAAAACTATCACAGACTTTTCATCTTCTCTGCATAACTCCCTAAGAACCAGTCAAAGTGGTAAAAGAAATTGCATAAACAGAATTGAGGCAACAGGTCTATAGAATTAAATGACGAGCTACTACCACTGAATTCTATGGAGTAATTTTTTTTCCTGAGTAGAATATGGTATAAGATATAGGACTGCACAATAAATAAAACTAAAATATTCTATCAATTTTCTCTTTTTTAATGTTTAATTACAACGCATTGAATGATCTTTATTTGTAGAAACCCTTACAATTTATGATGCTGAATTTCAGCTAGTAACTGTAGCACTTACCTGAACTCACCCATCTTTATATTTTTGGTTATACTGAACTATGAGGAAGGATTACAAGTGCTAAATATTTTCCATCTAAGAGGCAGCAAACACCTTATCCAAAGCAAAATACTGCTCAAGTATACTTTTCATGACAATTTTTATATATAAAATATAGAAGAATAAAACTTTTAAGTATTGTTTTACAGATTCATCTACCATACATCATGGCTTTGGATGTTTCTGAATATTCAGTACTAAGCTCCACAAGAATTTTTTTCAAAAAATAATTGTTAAAATCACACTTAGTGCATCTAACACATTTATGGTTCCATATAACATACATTTTCAGTCAATATATTTACCAATATTTGAGGCATTATATCTCTTCAAAACATGAATTATTTATGTTTAAAGTATTAGGTGTATGCTTCTTATTCTGATGCAGCATACTTTGATAGATACCTAAAATATGCCACAAACAGACGAAGCAGTTGATTTTTTTTTTCTGAGAAATCCTTTGGCATGCTTTAGTAAAAGTAACTGAAAATGTAGTATCCGGGCTACTTATTCATAAAACCAAAAATAAAAAGTAATTTTAACAACTTTGCTGCATAAGCACATTGTTACAAGTAGAAACATACTGGGACATAGATATTTCTCAGAATATATTAGTGCTTGTTATCTGTTTTCTTTTTTAAAAAGAGCTCATTTTAAAAATAAAATTTCATTCTATAGCTCTACTTATTTTTAAGAAATGAATGCAAATGTGTAATCAAAAGCCCTATTTAGACTTTATGTGCACAAAAGTTTTAACTTAAAAAAAAAGAAAAGAAAAATGCGAGCAAATACTTGGATCACCTGCTGGAGAAACATCCATTTTTAAGTTCAATTGGGTTGAATGGGATGAGAAAACAAAGAATCCAGCACCCTAACATGTTGCAAAAAATACGTAAAGTAATCTAAGGCTAAAAGACACTAGCTGCCACTAGTTAGTGTCACAAGCAAATATATCTCTAATCAAAATTCCAACCTGAATTCGATATTCCCACTAGCCACTTTTCTGGAGACCTATAAAGTAATAAACATTCTTTAATACAGCAAGACAAATTTGGTATTAGTGTTTAAAATGCAGTAATCACAGAGATAAAAACACATGATCAAGCAAATACTTTTAATTAGCTGATCATAAATAAATCCACATAAAAGGACCAATTAAATGGGTTACAAAGTTGCATTTTCCTATGTGGATTCAAATCTATTTTAATATGCACTAGCCAACTCTTATTGTTTAACCGAGATAGTGGTTTGTAACTGACCTACCAGCACCACAGCCACCAAGCAATTCATACTCCCTTAAAAAAAAATTTTTTTTACAAATGTTAACACTTCTGTACATTATACATATCTCTACAATTTTGTAAGTTGTATTAAAATTGTATATATTCTTCACAGAGAAAATGGTTAAGCTTTCAAAAGTGAATTATCTCTTTTACAAATTGATAAAAACAACATGGAGTACTGCCTTTTGGCATCTCTGCTGGAGATCATCTGGAAAGGCTGTTAAATGTTGAGATGCTGAAAAAGACTCTCTCTGATTTTAGATTTCATTAATAAATACTGCCACATATGATCACCAGCTTGAAATAAGGAGAAACACCATAGTGTTGCACTACTGGAAATGCATATAAAACCAACTGAAAACATACTACTACTATTGTGTCATGTCCATCATTTTTTATAACAAAGCAGAATTGTAAAATTCATCTGGCAATGTGTATTTTGTCCTTTCACAACTGAAAGTCTTTGTATATGGATACTGAAGATCTATATTTGGTTTTAATCACTTCCAGTGTGCTTCGCTGACAGGTACATTTGGATAAAAAGTCCATAAAGGGATTTTCCCCCTTCTGTTTGTTTCCTCTCACTTACAAATTTGTTGTTGAATGTGAAGCAAAAATTCATAGTAAGAAAATGCAGCCTCTGTCTTGTCTTCAATTAACTGCTGAAGAAAGTCTGTCTTCGCTGGGCTTTCATCCCTGAAACATGGAGGAAAAAATAAAAATTGTCTGTAGGAATTGATTAATTGATAAAAATATGCTGGGTAAATATTCTGAAACATCCCAGTGTCATTTCTGTTGTGCCCACTAACCTCTCTCATTTTTTACCTACTGTTCTCAAGTCCTCATAACAGCTTTCTTTCAAATGTACCAACTCAGGAAATATTTGGCCAATTATTTTCTTGTAAACAATAAGATGATTTATAAACTTGCCAAGTAGTTACAGATTTAAACAAGGATCGCATTCCTGAACACATTCTTTTAAAAAAACCTATTCAAAGGACAGTTTGCCAGAAACCTATTTCTTATAAGTGATGTTGCCTTTTGGATGCTGTATATGAATACTTACTTAATTACTTGAAGTACTGGGTTTAAAGATTTACTATCCTTCAGCCAAGTTATAAAGGACCTGGTTCGCTCTGAAGAAATATTATCTAATTCTGGAAGCTGTGTCTAGAAAAATGCAATATGGTAAAATTAAACACTTATAATATGCTGTTGTATTAGATATTCAAAACAGCATCAGTGACATTTTTATTACACTTTCAGAATCTTATTTTTCATCTTATTTAAATGCTGTCTTTCTATAAACAAAGTTCTGAGAGAACTGTCTACATCATAAGTAAGAAAATAAATAATAAAGATGGGATCAAAATCAGGCAAGCTCCAATAAGGACTGAGAACTACTTTATATCCAGGCCTATAGCCTCATCTTTGGGAGTATTAGCTGGATTTAAAGTCCTTACCAGTTTTTGAGGTACTGACAAATAATTTGGATATCCAAGCACATCTTTAATGAAGTTATTATCACAACTTCTTCCAACCCAAATGTAGAGGATCTAGAACGTGTTAGAAACAAAGAAATTAAAATATACATTTTTCTTTTGATAACATATGAAGTCATCAAGATTTTATTGGGATAAAATAATCCTTAAAACTGATTTAAAGACACAATACAATGAGCAGACAAGCAAAAGAAACTGCTGTATCAAACAGATGAAAAATAATGTTTAAATGGGCAACTCACCAAGCCACAATCCATAAGAAAAGCTCCTTCCCTTGTCAACTTCTCAGCAGACAGTCGTTGAAGAGGGGGCTGGGGTACAACTCTGTCATTGACATGTATTGCACCCTAAAATAGGATAATACAATTAAACTCACAGTGTAATTTAGTCCCATTCTAATAATTCAGTATTGGGACAATGTGTGTTCATCCAAAGTCCCGTCCCCCTCCAAAACCACAAAATCTTACTCTTTAACCCATGCTGAGCTTTTGTATGGCTGATTTTTTTTTTTGCACCAATGAACTTCAAAATGAATTTTAGCTTTGTTTGCTATTGTAGTTGTAAAGCATAAGACAACAACTGTGGGAGATCTAGGGGAGGGAGTGGATTTAAATGTGTCATTAGCTTAGAGTTCTTATATTGCCACAAACAATCCTAGTCCAGTCCCTCCCCTCCTTAAATTCTCTCAGCTCTTATCTAGAACCAATTCAGTGCTGACCATTAGTTGACTAGATTCTTGTGCACAGGCTTGAATAAACCTTCTGTGCTGCAATTTAACATATAGCCCTGACCCTTTGCATCCGACAACTGCAGTGGTGGGTTGTTGTTGTTTTGCCATTATGTTATAGTGTTGCACTTATAGCTGCAAGGCATTTTCATTTCTGAAGCAGTTAACAAAAAAGAAACAGCAAAATTTAAGCCTGCTTGCCTGCCTGACTTATTTTTGGGCATAAATATATTGTTAAATTTAAATGAGAAAAAATACTAATGAGATCTTTTTTTCTGGTCATGTGTTGATTGATTGCCTTGGGAATTATTTAAATAATTAAATAATTAAAAAGGTACTTTACTGAATAAAGAACTCCAGGATCTTTTTTGTTAATTGATTTTTACAGTTAAATTGGTAAGAGATCTGTGTTTCCACTGTTTCCTATAGATTTTAACAATTAACATGGAGGACAATTACCCACAGGATGAAAGGTTATGAGCAACAAATGCTTGCCTACTTTTGGAGTCCTCAAATAAACAAAAAACAAAAACAAAATGAGGAACAAGGAACTTGTTTTGAGTTTCTATTTTTTCCTATGACTAAAATATTGGAAATATTCTACATTTTTTCCTCCTCAAATACAGACCACTCAAATAATTGCAAGCTTGTTGTACTATAATACAGACAACTCAAAATTATTTTATTTTATTCTAAGCAGAAAGTAAAGTACATTTTTTTGTTTCAACCATAATCCTAATTTTAAAAAATCTAGGTTGTGCACTAGAAACAACTTTTAAGTTTAAAACCAGTGCTTTGAGTTATGCTACAAAATACGCTGAGTCAATCAATGCAAGTCTTCAAGATTAGGTGAAAAATTAGCTAATTTATTAGTGTTACAGTGGAACGTAAGATGTGAATACAGCTGCCCAAAATACTACTAGAATAAAGATAGCAGTGGGCAGACTACCTCTATTTAGTAGAGATAACAATTATACATTACACACACACACACACACACATATACCTCATCAGTAAGCTTGTCTATCCTATATAAATTGGGGTAGATTATCTTCATCAAATGAACCAGAGGCTGACTTTTTATTTGGCACATAGCAAATATGCGATCATCCAGACGTGTACTTGTGCCCGTTCTAAAAGCTTTCTGTAAAAAAAATGAGAAGAAAAATGTTGTGTTTTTATCGTAGGTTGGCTAGGAACATCTAAATGAATAACTGCCTGGCAGAATATTTTCCCAATTAAGTGGCAGATATATAATACAAAATTTTAAATATTTCTTGGCTGCTATTATAAAACAGTGTAAACATTGATTACACGTAGTTTTGATGAGTAGCAATAGCATTTTTATATATCTTTAGAGATTATGAAAGCTAAGCAAATTGATGTACATTATTCATTCTACACTACAATAAAGCCCACCAAAATTTCAAAGATATGGTATTCCATCTATTCATCTGTATGTCATCACATTTCTGTAATCAAAACAGATTTTAACATTGATTTTTCAATTGCTATTTATCAGAGGTTATACCTGTTTAAAAAGAGCCAAAATATACAGAGGGAACAGCCTGAGAGAATATGGAGCAATCAAAGAAGATTGTTGGAGGTTTGATGCTGTTGACATATATGCAGACAGCGAATCTACGACCGCATTGGTTAAAGCATCTCTAGCATCTGACAAACTTGATGAAACAGATCGATCCACAGCTGTGGAAAATGTAGTAGCAATTGTGAAGGAACCACATTTAAAGAGGCAAAGAAAGTACAACAGTACAATGATTAATATTCTGCTAGCACATTTTCAATTTGCTAGATAGATTTGAATATATTAAACATCAGTGTTGATCTGGAATACAGTAAACAAAACTAAATTATATTGCATTAAAGGAAACACACCTCATATCTCATAATTATCTAAAAGCCTTTTAGAGAAAAGAAAAAGGCCTACAAATGATAAATTGTAATTTATTTTTATCTTACTTAGCAGTAAAATAAAATTTGAAGCTATAAACTCTCTATCAGTATGTTGCAGTTGATAAAGTAATTGTTTAGCATAGCATGTTATATTCACTGGATCTGTTCTCTGCATGCATTTACAGGAAGTGTTACTTACCACACACATTCAAGATGATGAGCAATTCATTAAGTTACCAACAGTTATTCTCTAACTGCAAACTAAATATTGTCTTTTTATAATTTAAAGCAGTGGCATCTATTTATTACATCTATAGTAATCAACCAATTTCCATCCCCAGGAATCCCTCTGAAACACCTGGATGGTGGAAGAAGTTGTACCCAGGGCTAAGGAATAACAGTTCTCTAACCATGCCGGATGTTTAGAGCACTTATAACAGTTTTCAATATCAACTTGTTCCCCAGCCACTCCTCAAGTTTGGGTTTATTTCTGTCTGATATATATAGTGATCATAATATCACTGACTGTGAATGCAGCCCCTGTAATCACATGGCAGGGCAGAAGAAGAGTGCCTTCCCATTGCTTACCCATGTGTTTATAATTGCAAAAAATTGTGATATTTGAGCATTTATTTTCAACTTACCCATATTAGCTAGGAGGCATATAATTGCTTGTACATCTGCTCCAGCATAAACATCCATCAAGGAAGTCACTACGGGCAAACAAAGTGTATGTACCCTAATTCTCCGTTCACCTGTATTAGGATCCAACCACACAGTGATAAATATGCAGTGTTTATTTCTGATCCAATTGTTTTTAATATATATTTACAAATGACATAAGGGCAATATGCCAGCTATTTCGAATCAAAGGGAACACTTGTTTCTAAGTGATCAGCCTTTATTTTTGTCTTTTTCTATAGAAAGATATTAGCAATTATTATCCTTCTCTAAAATTACCTTTGCTGGAAGTATACAAAAGTGCTGTTTGAAAACAAACTAGTGATGTATCTGTAAGATTTTCTTCAATGGACATTTGCACTGCAAATCCAGCATCAGGATTTACGTTTGCAAGTGACAACAAATCAGTAGATCGCACAAAAAAGTTACCATGAAAAGTATGAATAGAAAGCCCTAGAAGAAGAAGAAAAAAGCAAAGTTTCAGTTAACATTCCAGTAACAAAGACTGATGATAAATATACCTATTAGCATTGGCACATTAACTGAGTTTAATGATGCTTTCTCTTTAGAGAGAGTAAACTACAGACTACAAAGCCACATTTGAAGACAGAATGTGTACTAGTGCTAGGAAACATTTGGGTCATTTAACACATTTGTTTCCTTTGCCCTTCCCCCCTCATCCCCCCTCACCCCCATCCACCTCAGGCATGAGAGAAAAGAATTTACAAGAAATTGTAGAGACTGGGAGCAGTAATGGGAAAAATGGTGCGAAACAATAAATGACCCCACCCTCCAAAAATCTCCTTGCAAACTTTATAAACTTTTGCCTTGATTCCAAAAATGATTAAAAAGTCTGAAAAAAAATACTCTCAAATATAGTCCAATTGGTAGAAGAATCATCATAATCAAGATAAGGATGCACCAATCATCATAAGTCTTCTTTTACAGAAGTGATGGAATAACTCTAAACTATCAGAAAAGCACTTGGTTTTGTCTGAGTGACTCTGAACCATTTTTAATACACACTCTGAATGATACTGGCATATTCAAACTACCGGTGTCTCTTCGAAAATAAGACCGAGTGCTCCAAAATGCGCATTAGGTCTTATTTTCAGAGAAATATGGTGCTAAATGCATCTATCTGGCCGATGATCTTAACTGGGGCTTATTTTAGGGGTAGGGCTTATATTACGAGCATCCTGAAAAATCATGATAGGACTTATTTTCCAGTTGGGTCTTATTTTTGGGAAAACACATTAAATTTAATTTAAAATCTAGATGATACCTTTTGTACATCTTATTCTCATTACAGCTTCAAATCCAATCTTTCGTGTAAAGTATCTTTTAAGATCTTTTTGCAGTTTTTCTGTTTGAACAGGGTTGTGGATATGATGGAAAGATGGGTAATAATAGACGCATCCAGCAGAATATTTGGACATGCAAGCTTTAGGGGAGGATTGAAAAAATGGTTAATATCCAGTCAATACAGGCAGCACATATTTTATTTTTAAAACAAATATTCATCATCTGAAAAACAGAAAATAATACTTTTCTAATATTTATAGGAAGCATTCTAGCATCTTATATTGCTCTTAACAATGCAAGCCTTTATCTGAAGAAAACCAGATGAAGACTTTTGATATAACATATAAAACCAGAGTTAAGAACTATTGCAAGGAACAAACTTCATAATGATGATATCAGTGGTGCCCATTTTAATTCTTGTACCATTTCTTAGATGTTTCATAATGCATTTTTCCTTTGTACTTTAAAAAAAATCAGAAGTATTACCATACACATTAGATACCAGCCGTGGGCAGTCTTTGGATCTAAGTGAGGAAGCTGTTCCAGAACTGGAATGGGCTGGTTTTATCTACTGCAGGTCCTGAAAGAACCCCCGTCACAAGGAAAGTTAATCTTTTAAAACACTGCCAGGTACAAGAAGCATGCTCAGTCCAGATCCAAAGTAACCCTTTAATCAATACCTGCTTAGCCTGATTGTTGTATCAACATAAAGGAAAAATTGTAAAGTACAGTAACAGCTTCGTTTACTATACGTTAGGTGTTTGTTCCAATTATTTATGATACTCATACACTGCCTTTTTTCCTAGGAATTCAAAATAGTTTACACAGTAGGGCATTTCACAACAAGTTTGCAGAATTATTATATGAGACATATCAGATGTGTGAGACAATCTACCAATACAGAAATCATATACGAAAAAAAATGATTTAAAAGACGAGACAGCATCCCTTTTAATATTTCAATTTTTTATGTGAAGTATAAACCACTTCTTTCAATGCATATATCTGAGCAAACCTGTTTTGGAACTTTATAATTTTTTTGACAAATTAACACTGAGGGTTCCTCAAAGTGTTAAAGTGTAAAGTAAATGCAAGTTCATAATCCTTACCAAGAGAAGCCAAATCAGAATACTGTGAACTTAAGAGGAACAAATCCACAGCTGTCTGCTGTCCTGAACAATCAAGTGCCAACTTTTTATAAAAATCTGTTGCAGGTCCAAGATGTTGAACAACCTAATGCAACAACAAAATGTAAGATTATTGATGCAATAGAACAAAATTATGTTTGTCTAAGCTGTATGCAAATTAAATACATTGTTAACATCTTATTGTTATGTATAAAAATAAAGGTTCTCCTCGCACATACGTGCTGATCGTTTCCAACTCTAGGGGGTGGTGCTCATCTCTGTTACAAAGCCAAAGAGCCAGCGCTGACTGAAGATGTCTCCATGGTCATGTGGCCAGCATGACCAAATGCTGAAGGCACACGGTTACCTTCCCACCAAAATGGTCCCTATTTTTCTACTTGCATTTTTACATGCTTTCAAACTGCTAGGTTGACAGAAGCTGGAACAAGTAACGGGAGCTCACTCCATTACACCGTGCTAGGGATTCGAACCGCCAAACTGCTGACCTTTCTGATCGACAAGCTCAGCATCTTAGCCACAAAGCCACCCTGTTATGTATATATTTATTAAATTTTAAGGCATGCAACAGCTAAAGCTATATATAAATCTACAGAACTATAACATTATATATAAGTAAAATATAACCTATTATATTTCCTGATTTTAAAAAAATGTTTACTTTCATTTTATAATAACTAGAACTTATTATCGAGACAAGTCCTTCATTGAGTGAATTTCTTTGTGCTTAGGTCTAGGCAAAGCAACAGTGGAAATTCTTACTAAGGGCCTATTCTTCCCCTGTATTTACCCCAGGTTTTTTTTTAAATTTATTTTTTAGTGTATGGAATGTGTTAGCCAGGGATCACCGAGGTGGCTGCCTGCTTCTGTGAAAGGAATTTTGGGGGGTAGTGTTATCTTTACTAGTGGGACACCTGAATGCTGGTAGGCAATTAGGGAGGCTCCTTTCTTGTCCCTCCATGGATTTTCGCTCACGAGAATCCAGCCACCAACCTCAGTGGTGCACAGACCCAGTGTCTTGCCACCACAGTCCCCAACCCAGGTATTAAATACGTTACTTATACTATATGATATTTTAAAAATAAGCTGAAAAATTAAGTTTAGATATCCAACCTACAGCAACAATTTAAGAAGTGAAGATATATAAACATAAATTATTGTTTTCCTCTTATCTGTATTTCTCAAGTCCATATTACCGCCATCTCATTCAAAATGATTCTGAGAGGTATATAATAAAATCTACAATTAAAATATTCTACAAAGCCAATTAAAAATAATAAACATGGATAAAACAAGGCCGTAAGAAGGGAGAGACTGCATATAATGCAGCTAACGGGTGGACTCCCTATTACCAGGCATCTCCAAGCTTGTTGAAATTTTTTTTTCCCGAGGACTTCCCAGAAAGCTATAAAGATCAGGGATAACTTTACATTGGGTAGGATGATGTTCCAGAGCAGGGGTCTCCAATCGTGGCAACTTTAAGACTTGTGGACTTCAACTCCCAGAGTTCCTCAGCCAGCAAAGCTAGCAAAGCTGGCTGAGGAACTCTGGGAGTTGAAGTCCACAAGTCTTAAAGTTGCCAAGGTTGGAGACTCCTGTTCCAGAGAGCACGTGTCATGGCAGAAAATAGTCAAATGGAACTCTTTTTGCAGATGGGACCCACAACGTTTTGCAGATGGGACCCAGCCTTTCCTGCCAGACCTGATGGGATGGGTAGATGTAATTGGGAAGAGGCAGTCCCTCAGATAACCTGGCCCACGGCATAAAAAAAAGTTTTAAAGGTCAAAAGTAGCACTTTGAAGTAGACCTGGAAAGAAGCTGGTAATCAGTAAATGAAGTGTAAGATGTGTCCTTCTAAAGGCACACTTAAATTGTCTCTACAGCTGCAGTTTTGCACCAACTGTATCTTCCCAATGCTCTTCATGTAGAGCACTTTGCAAAAGAAACCAATAGAATTTTCCAAGTTCTATATTGAAACCATTCGTATACTTTTTGAAAACTTACTTCACCTTCAAATACCTATGAACACTACGTAACATCTTCCTCCATGACTTTTTTGATCTGTTCAAATTATGTGATTAAATATATGATGTTATCAGTTTAGACCGGGCAGTAAAACAAGAAGGGAGGAACCACATTCATAGATTCCAAGGTGTCATCAAGCATCACATACAGTTTGAACACTCAACATTTGGTTCGTTAAAATGACTATGGTGATTCTCAATGAGAGTGCCAGCTAATGTTTCTACCAAACACTTCCAGCCTGTCTAATTAATTCCTTATCTGAAACAAATACCTTGGTGCTTGATCTTTGATTAGGATCTTCCCGGGAGTGTAGGTATCCTGTGCCCACAGAAGGTAACTGTGTCTGAAACACAGTTACACGCCCACCAGTTGGAGACATCAGTTTAAAGGCAGCTTGAAGAGCTGGGCCTAATGCACTGTGTGTTTCTCTTGTGTAGGTAAACATACTTGGAAGCGCATTCAGTAAATCTTTAATCAGCTGGAAAATAAAATGAGCATGAACACTGAAATCTCAGCAATATTTTTAAAGCAATATTTTGAATATTGTATTATTCAATACAAGTCTAGATTTCCAAAAAGTCCATTTTCAGAGATGATCTATAAATCAGATTTTTCCAAATGAAATCTAAGATTTCCAAGAGCACAACACACACACACACATACTCATATGCACACGCACACACAGCCCTGTGGCACTCCCTCTAGGGTACACTGACCTATCTGTATAAATTTCATCTGTGCTACACCAGCTAGTCTTCTCTTTTCTCTTGAAATTATTTTAAATGAAGTTCTGAGTAGAGAATACATCTTATTTTATTTGATCAAAATCTCATCTGATTCTCTTAACTATACAGAATTGTAGAAAACGAAGGAAAAATGTATATTCTAAGTTCAAGATGAAAATATGGTTAGAAAGATGCAGGTCCTTTTAAGATACCATCTTAATACCAACACTAATATGCTAAATTAATCAAAAGCAAAGAAGCTACTCATGAATCTCTTCAGTTTAATATTTATTGTTGTAAATGCTATTATATTTCTCTTACCTCTTTACTTTCATGCAGATTGACAAGTAGACAGTCAGGCATAGGCAGGAAAACATCTATGGAGAAGAAATGTTTCACTTTTGATTTCTTATGTTAATGTATTTTTTTTGTCTTTTAATGACCCCGTAATCCCTTTCAGGGTGGAGTCAGGGCAACTGAATGGAGCTGAGTGTTTACTGGCCAGATACCCTTCCTTTCGCCAGAGTTTACAGCTGATATTTACTCATTGTGCCCAGAGAGAGAAATATCTGCCGCAACCTAGGATCGAACTCACAACCTCCCGATTGTGAGCAAGAACTCCACCTCTAGGCCACCGCACCACTCTCTTAAGTTAATGTAATATAATTTTAAAAAATATAGTAAAATAGAAAAAATGGTCAGATACAAATTCTATAACTGAATTACATTTCTCTATGTGCAAAAGAGAACAAATATGTTATTCCTAAGCTATCCTAGTCTGTCCCGACTGGTTTTTAAATTAACATGCAACATTAACTGGGAAAACACCACTCAATTCCATTATGATCAAACTAGTACAACTGAAGTAGCATTTTCCCACATAGTTGTAATATTCTGTAACATCTTAAAGTGAACTAACTCATACTGCATTCTGTGTTACTTTTCCTCACTTTTATTCTTCCAACTGTTCAGGTAATCTTACCATCAATTTCTGAAACAACGAGCATCTGAGGCTGTGATAATCCTTCCTGCAAATTGTAGAACTGAACAGTGCTATCAAAAGTTATGAAGCCAATTTTTGTTCTGGTATCTCCAGGCAACCTTTAGTATTAAAATAAAACAAAAGCAAATATGTTCCTGAAATACAGAGGTGAATTCTAGAGGTTTTAAATTTAGTAAATGATCATTAATACTCTCCCAATGAACACTATCTAGCACATTATTAACAATTTTCTGTCATGGATCCAGAAGATATGAATGAAATCTGAACATAGTTGGTTCAAATATTCTCCCTCTGCTTCTACTTTGGTAATTAGAAAACTAGGTATCTTAATTTGCAGCTAATTATGGTGGGGTGAAATACAGAAAAAGAAAAGGAGTTTAAGAGTGCCTAGTTTTTCATTAAACATGTTGTTGAGCATGCTGCTAAAGGTAAGTGGCTGTTTCCTATAGCATATTCTCACCAACGAGTTTATTCCCAAAACTACTTGAATGTCACATTATCATTAGCAATAGCACTTAGGCTTCACAGTGCTTTACATCCCACTTTACCCTCTCTAAACAGTTTACAGAGTCAGCATATTGCCCCCAACATTCTGGGTCTTTATTTTACCAACTTGGAAGGATAGAAGGCTGAATCAACCTTGAGCCGGTCAGGATCAAACTCCTGGCAGTGAACAGTGAGTTAGCCTGCAATACTGCATTCTAACAACTACGCCACCACAACTCTTTAGATACTTCAGTGTCATTAGACATTTCATTTTAAGAGGAAAAAAAAAAACACAAGTTCCATCCAATCTTCGCAAGTATCATTATGTCCAGTAAATACAAGTTCTTACTTGTCTAAGTTTTCCAGCAAAGACTGACACACAACTTCTAAGTATCCAGCTTCTATTGCATTATGGGACACATCAAACACAAATAAATATACTGCAGGTTGAGGAGGACGAAGCTGTAAGATAAGATTGATTTTTACTAATGTGCTTATTAGATCTGTAACAGCCTTAAACAGGTTTGCCATCTCTGTAGCTCCCATTTTTGCACACACATGGACCTATAAAATATTACCTTTTAAAACTATAAACTTACCATGTAGTCTGAAGAAGCAATGAACTCCACGGTAGAATTTTGGACCTCCGGACGCTTATGAGGTTCTCCATAAGATCTTGTTAGAGGATTGTACATAAATTCTTCAGGAACTAAATTATAAAATAAATTTAAGTCATTTAAATAAAGTTTAAAAATGAAGAAATCAGCATAATAAAACCAAATAGAAAAATCAGCACATAAAATTATTTAAATTAGAAATACAACAGTGCGCAAATCTAAAAACAGAAAGAACAATTGTTACGATACCTGGAAAAAGATTCTTTGATACTGAAGTGAGAAAGTTGGAACATTGGAGGCATTGGGTATATTGGAGAAGGATTAATACTTACCATCATTAACTCTGTAGCACAGATTACATTTCCATCTCCTTTGGTCAATAAAAGACACGAAAGGATTGATGTAAGTTCTGCATGATCTACACCTCACAATGGTGCTTGACGTTATCACAGGCAATTGCTAAAAAAAAGCAACAGAATTCTAGAATTAATTTGAGATAAATTGTTTTCGTAAGTGTTTTATCCAAAACTGCCAGCAACAAACGTTAAATTGGCTATGCACTGTTCAGAGATTAAGTACTGGAAACAACTATTCTTCTACAGTAAGGTAACAAGTAGTAAGCTGGAGAGTCCAGCCATAGAAGGCAATGCTACACAAACTAACACTGTGCATTGTTTTTTCAAGGTTTATTGAAAATCACTCAGTTCAAATACTGTAAATATATTTAAATCAGTAAACGTCAATATTATCTTTAAAATATTTCCCCAGTTTCCAGTGGTACATTTTTGTTTAGATATCTGACCCGTTAACAGCCAACACAATTTACAGCTTCCATCACTTAAAAACTATTACTGTACTACACAAAATTTATGTACTTCTATAATATACAAAATACACGATCGCCTTATTCAAATTTAGCTAAATAAAATCTTGTGGCAATAAAAAGTTGTTTTACCGTTAGATCTCTGAAAGGAT